ATCTATGTGTTAGTTTGGATCCAATCAGCAAAACAAACCACACACTGCTTATTTTAATAGAGTGAACTCAGTAAGGGAAATTGGTTTAAACCCTTGGAGAAGAGTTGAAAAAGCATGTTATAACTGCATTAAGCAGCTCCTCATCCAGGACTGGAAAACAAAGGGAGGAAGGTTGGGGTTATCAGAACCTAGAAGTCTGAAGGGATCTGGAGGAGCTGCACCCAGATTCTCCTAGGAAACGATGTTGCCTGGTGCTGCTAATTTCTCAGGAGTTCCCAGGAGGGTCCTGGGAAAGTTGGGCTCCACTGAGCCCTGCCCAGATGATGCTGGTGATACTGAGGTGCCCAGTGAGGCTGGTTCTGGGAGGAACCAGTTGCTTCTGTCAAGAAACCAAGCCACAGGAAGGAGGAAGCCCTTGTAACCCCCTCTTGCTATTTCTTTTCCCTTTAGCCCCCCCCCACACACCACACCCCCGCCCTTGACAGAACCAACCAGGGATCCTGCTGACAAAGTGAAATCTAGGAGGTGGAGTCCAAGCCCCAGATCACAAAGCAGAGAAGACAAGGAAGGTGTGGACCTGGAGACAATAACTTAATAACTGGCACGGTCTGAAAGGATGTTTATTATCTGCTAAGCATTCAGTAGGCACATTGGGTAGGAAGGTTTACAGATAATCTGGTCCATTATGTCAACAGTTAGCAATGGCAACAGCTACCATTTTTTTTCAGCATATATTGCGAACCAGGCACAGTTCTGAGCACATCACATGAATTGCTTTCCAAAGCTCTCAAGAGGTAAGTTCTTACTACTGTTCCCTTTTATAGGGAAGGAAAACTGAGGTACAGGTAGATTAAGTAATCTGCCCAGAGCCATATAGTTTGTAAAATGGAGCTGGTGTCCTAATCCACACATACTGTATTCCATAACCCACAGTATCTTAACTTCTACAGTGTTGAAAGTTCTTCCCTAGGTCACATCAAAATCTGTCTACGTGTAATGGCAACTCAGTTCTAGTTTTGTCTTCTTATGGAGGTGGGACATTTAAGTCTTTCTTCTCATCAGCATGATAGGCTTGCATTTATTTGAGAAAAGTTGTCACGTTCTCCACTGTCTAAACACAGGTAGTTCTTCCACTTTTTAAATTTTTCTTTTCCTTTTTTTTTTTTTAAGAGAGATTTTTGCTATAGGACATGTGCACTTGCTGGAGAGGCAGAGTGAGACAGAAAGCAAGAACCTCCTGGGGGGATGGCCATACCGCAATCCTGTCTCTTCCATTCTCCTCTCAGGACTTTGGGCACACTTCCAGCATGAGTTTTAAGCCACTGGGTCCAGGACTTGAACCGCTGTCGACCGTGTGGGAATCCAGCGAAGTAACCATTACGCCATCTGCTGGTCCCCTTGCTCCACAAGGGGACACAATGTACATACAGACCTCCTTCACTGTAGTTATTGGCATTGTTACTCTGCACGTTCTGTGATATTACCCTTCAAAGATTGGCCACAGGCCCCACTCTAGTGGTGCAGCAGTAACACAGTGCCCTGCAAGACTGAAAGCCGTGTGACTGATCGTTGATTCAGATCCCTGGGTCATCTGCTGTGGGCAACTTCATTGTCTGGAGGGCCCGGGAAAGGGGATCATTGATGATAAGACCCTGTGTAGGGCGTCTCTCTCTCTCTCTCTCTCTCATAAAAAAGGTAGGGCACAGTTGTCATCTACTAATGGAACTTTACTGTGTTGGTGTTTTGGGTAACTGTCAGATTCATGGTTTATTGAGAGTGTACTTAGTAATAGCCACTCCTCCACTTCCTGCTATAGACAGTTTTTTTTTTTTCTTTAAGCAGCCTTTAGAATATGAATTGCTATACCAGGTCTTTGGTATTTATAGTCTGTATTTGTTTGGTTGGCTCTTATTCTAAGAGAATAAAACAGGATTCACTTAATCCTTTGAATTGTTTCTTGTTTTCGGTAACATCAAACCCTATAGGATCTTTTTGCCAGATCATTTCTAAAAATACTGTATTTTCTTTTTTTAAAGAATTGTTTAATTTAATTTAATTTAACCCAAGAGGGACAGAGAAAGAGAAAGTGAGAAGGCAAGGCAAGCTACCAGATCTGGGACTTGAACTGTGGTCGGCCATATGGGAGTCCAGCACCCTTAAACACCACACCACCTGCTGGCTCCAAAATACTGTATTTTCAATTTTGTATTGTTTAATTCTAAAACTTGATGAGAGTGCCTTTTATGTTCAGTTCTAAGATTTTGACAAAAATGGTAAATATAATAGGTCTGAGAAACAAGCTCACAGTATGGTAGAGCTTATCCCAGTTGATGGAAGTTTTAGGGAAATGGTTTTGACTATTCCTCCTGGTAATTTGCGGGAGGAGCTATCTGAAAAGTCCAGTATCTTGGCTGTGATTGTTGGAGAAGAGAGCCAAGGTTAAGGGGTGGCCATTAGGTAGGTAATAAGGAGCCACTTGGTAGCAGTGAAATGACTTGGTAGCCGTAGAAGGGGAGAGGGTGTTATTGCACCGCATGCTCCTGGGTCAAGACCTTGGTTGGCAGCTGTGTCTCCTGCCCTCTCTGTCCTATTTAAGTGCTAGTTGCTTTGAAGCCATTGCAGGAAATGCCAGTGATTCAGCCTTGCAGATTTCTTCTGCCTTATTGCAGCTGAGTACTGGTTTATCTGGTCAGGAGTAAAGACTGTAATTTCAGGCATGATATTTATTTGACCACTTGAGTGCCTTCCTGTGACTGGCTAGAGACAATTGTTTAGCAGGCTGTCAGGTTTGGGATACCCTGTGGCAGGGCAGATGCAGCATGCCCTCAACACATGGTCCTCTATGTGGGCAGGCGTTGAGTGTCTGTTCTGCTGCGATGTCCTCAGTGAGAAGAGAGGTCATCATAGCTTTGACTTTCTGTGGTTGTTACAGTGTGAGTTTGGAGAAACCTTGTTCCCTAAGAGGTTCTCATCCTACCCCTTACCTTTAACTTCAGCAAAGTGGGCTCTGTCTGATTGCTGACCGCCAAAGTCCAGTTTCCTTAAGCAGTGAGCAGAAACCTATGAATGCTTATTATCTGTCTCACAGAGTTGAGCATACTGTTAAAAACAACATAATATGGGATTTCCCTCCTCACCAATTTTTTAATTTTGAACATTTCAGACCTGTAGATACTTTGCAAAAATAACAAATACATACTCTTCACCTGGATTCACTGTCAATATCCTGTCACATTTGCTCTTTCTCCATTTTTCTAAGCCTGTTATTTATTTATTTATTTTATTTTATTTTATTTTAGTTTGTTATATGGTGTATGAACTTGCCAGAGAGAGACTGAGGGAGGGAGAGGGAAAGTGAGAAACTACCCCACAAGGGGACTGTCCCTGCTACAATCCCCTCTTCTCCATCTCCCTTTGGGGAATCTGGAAATGCACACACACATACCTGGTGTGTTTTTGAAGTCACCAGGCCCAAGACTTAAACTGCATAGTTGGCATGTGGGTCCTAGTCTCAACCACCATGCCACCAGCTTGCTCTCTGAGCCTCTTTTTTTTTGGAGAGGTTTTTGCTATAGAGCGTGTGTGCTCACCAGAAAGACAGACAGAAAGCGAGAAGTCACCCCCCAAGGGGGATGGCCACACTGCAATCCCTTCTCCTCCATTCTCCTCTCAGGATCTTGGGCACACATGCACACACGCCCAGCGTGAGTTTTAAGCCACTGGGTCTGGGACTCGAACCGCAGTCGACTACATGGGAGTCCAGCGACATAGACATTACACTAACTGCTGATCCCATCTCTGAGCCTTTTTGACTGTTAGATGTTCTCATCATGTTATTCCATCCCTAAATATTTCAGCAAATTTTTCTTTTCTTTAAAAAAAAAAAAAAGATTTATTTATTTATTTATTTATTTAAATTTAACCAGAGAGGGACAGAGTGAGAAAAGAGAGAAGGAAGGTGAGAAAGCAAGCCTCCAGGTCTGGGACTCAAACCGCGGTTGGCCACGTAGGAGTCCAGCGCCCTTAAACACCATGGCACCTGCTGGCCCCTCGGCATGTATTTCTTAAAAACAAGGCTAGCTTTCTATATAACCACAAATGCTATTAATATTCAGGATATTTAGCATTGATTCCATTTATCCAATATGTAATGCTTATTCTGTTTCTCAAGGATATCTTTCTTTTTTAAATTCAGGATCTATCAAAGGACCATGTATGCTTTTAGTTGTCGTGATCTTGCCATATCTTTAGTCTGCTTTAACTAACAGTTTGTTAGTCTTGTAAAAAAAAAAAAAGTTATTAATTTTTTCTTCTGAGAAACGGGCAGAAAGACCAGCACCCCAACAGGGCCCTACACTGTTATCCACCCAGTCCCAGCCAGCACAGATCACAAGCACATACGTGTATGCCCACATGCAGAGAGAGGCCCTGGCCTGTGACCCAGAACCAGCCATGCCACTGTCTGGCCCTTAAACTAAACATCAGAAAGCCTTTAGGAGGGAGCAGTGCTCCCTGGTTCTGCCGTTTGCCCCTCCGGAACTTTCACTTCTGTTACCTGCCTGACCCCTAAAGGTGTTTGAATTTACCGCTTTGGATAACTCAAGGTGTGGAGATGAGAAAGGGCGTGGCTTATGCCGACAGAAGTGGGAAGACTGGCTTGATTAGTTCACAGTAGACTCTGGAAGAGTGGGAAATAAAGTTGAATAAATGACTTGAGGCAATACCATGGAGAACTCAGAAAGTGAAGCCAGAGAATTAGATATGATGCTTAGGGAGGAGAAAATCCTGGAAGGTGTTTGAGCAGGAGAAATACCCTTATACATGTGAATGGTATGGAGCCTCCTGAGGAAGGGCCTTTCCTGGTTTAGAGGCTGGAATCCTCACAGGGCAGGGCCTTTCCAGTGCTGACCGAAGGGGTGTGGTTTGGCAGTCTTGCTTGCCTCGGGAGGCCAGAATTTCTGCCCCAGTGACTCTTCCTGCTCTGCCACTGACTCACCCCTGTGACCTGGCTGCATGGCTTCTCTTCTGCTTGTTGTCTGATCCACGGAGCACTGGGGCTGCCCAGGATGGTGTGAGAGAGAGCCATCAGCAGTGGGTGGGATGGAGAATGAACAAGCACTCCTGTCCCTTTGCCTCTTCCCTGTTAAAGGCTCATTCTAAAGCCAGACCGCTGAGGATTGCTCTGCCCTAGCTTGGGAGGCTGTTCACCAGGAGGTAAGTCAAGATGGTTCCTGCCCTCTGTGCTTTTTCATGGATCAGCTTTTTCCTGAACAACATAGCTACTACTTTCTTTTTCCTTGTTCCAGGTTCTTCAAAGTAGCCTTTTTAAAATCACTTGAAACACATAGGTTACTGCAGGAGGTGGGCAGAGAGATTTAATAAACGTTTTTCTGACTTGAAAGGGAGTATACAGAGTTTTCCGCTGGCCTGCCCTGAGGTCGATTGCCAGAACTCTAGTGAGCCGGACAGAAAACACTGGCTTATAGCCATCAGGGACAGTGCACAGAGGTCCTGGTCTTAAGCCATCATTGCTCAGCTACCAGGTTTCTGAACCATTCTTGGTATGCTTCAGTGTCCCAGGTTATCTCCCTCCCCTTTGACCAGGGAAGTGAAAGGCATAGTGAAGAGCAGGGAAGGGGAAGTTGGATGGGTAAGTGTTTGTGTGTTATGCTGGGTGTTGGGGTATTTGGATTTCTAGTCCTGACTGTTGCTAACCAGCTATGTGACTGGGGACAAATGGCCATTTGGATTATATATATATATCATATATATATATATATATAATTGTATTTTATCAATGAACATGTATTTACAGGTTTTCTAGTATCAATATTTTGATTGGGAGTTTGTGTGTAACTGAGACTATGTAATATTTTTCCATTCTAAATTGCTATTCACATTTATATCTTAAGTTGATTATATATTGTAAGTTAATTTAAAAAATAGTATAAACTCAAAAATATAAATATGGCTAAGGGGCAGCAAGGGGGGGGGGGGGTGGGGG